AACCATGGGAGAATCCCTCCTCCATATCAAGAACATAAAAATCAGCGGGAAAAATTAGTTCACCAACCCGAACCAAGACATCCTCTATAAAACCTGTGGGGTGGGCAACACTCCTATTGGCCAACTGAATGACCACACCCGTAGGTTGCAAAGTACCAAGAGACAAAGAATTAAAAATAGACAAATGCATGACATTAATTGAAGCTCCTAAATCAAGCATGGAATTTTCAAATTTATTGTTACCAATAATGCAAGGTACACAAAATGTACCTAGGTCCTTACACTTTTCAGGAATGTGTGGAACAAATTTACCTATGAGTGCTGAGACATTTCTTCCCATGCTGATTCGCTCATTGCCCTTCAGCTTCCTCTTGTGGGCGCACGAGTCTTTCAGGAACTTAACATATCTAGGAATTTGCTTGATGGCATCCAGCAGAGGTATGTTATCCTATGCCCATTGCAAAGGATTAAACATCCTAATTCACTTGCTAATGATTTTGTATTTCTTTTTTTATTTCGGATGATATATGATTGTAATATTGTCATCTTAAAAAATTATATTTTTTATTTTTGTCAATTCATAATTTTGGTCCTCCTATTTTAGAATAAAGATATTTAATTTTTTAATTTAAAAAATATATAATTTTAATTTTTTTTATCAAATTGACACTTATTAATCGTTAAATTTTAACGTTTATTCATAATTAACTGATGTGTCATTAGTAATATAACATATGAAGATAAAAAATTATGAAAAAATTATGTAAATAAGATTTATTAATAAAATAAATACCAATCATTTGTTAAAATATATACAAATCAATGTTTTATTGTATTATTTTTAAATTTTTATCTTTATAAGTCATGTCACTATATATTATGTTACTTAAGTAGTGATATGTTATTAAACAACATTAAAATTTAAAATATCAAATTAACGGTAAGATCAAAATTTTATATTTTTTAAAATAGAAGAATTAAATGTCTCTATATTAAAATAGAAGAATTAAAATTACAGATTAATTAATAAAAATATAAGAATCAAAAAGCAATTCAGCCCTTCTTTTTATATTTCAATGACATTCAATTTTAAATTTCTCATCTTTTAAATAATTACTAATTATTATTTTTTCTATATTATAAATAAGGGAGATATTATTTTTTTAGTGTATACAAATTTTTGGATTAATTTACCCTTATAAACTACCTCTAAATCATATTCTCTTTCATTTTCTTTTATTTATTTATACTCTTTTCTTTTTTTATTTTAAGGACATTCAAATTCAAAAAATCTCACCCTTTAAATAATTATTTATTATTTTTAAACTTTAATTTTTTTAAATAATTCATGCCTATTTTCTCCCTACTAATATTTATAATGTGTAAATTTCTATGATGACTTTCAAATACTATTTTCAATTTGTAATCATATTAAGATTTAAATATCATTTTTTCAATAGGAGGCATTTTGAAATTTGTTTAATTTATATTTTTAATTCAATTTTTATTTATCATATTTATTTACAATTAAATCCTAATATTTACTTCTATATATTAAAGGCGATCGACTATCTTGTGTAGGAATATTTCTAAAGACATATTTTTAATATAGTTCTTTTCGGTGATTTTCTTCAATGAAAATGTTTTTTTTTTAATTTAATTCCTTATTTGATTCAATTTTTATTAATCATATTTATTTATAAAATAAATTTTAAAATTTTAAATAAATAACAAATAATAAAAAATAAACTTTATTATCCTAACGCACCCTTGATCTTGTATGGAATATAACCCTTTAAGCACTACGATATGATATCTGTTTATCGACATGTATTTATAAACTACTTTATAACCCTTCAGATAAAAGTTACATTTTTGAAATAGCACTATATGCATATAAAATTAGATTGAAGTATTGTATACAACATTTGTTATAAATATTATGTTGATATAGATTACTTTATTATGTGTGTATAAATCTACTAATTCAAAGAGTAATTTACACTCCTAAAATTTCTCGGATGATGTCACTTACACAATTGGAAGTCAAGATCCATCGTCAGGTATAACACAACTAGGTACGGACTTACCACGACCTTGACATGCATAACCAAGTCAATTGTGGAGTTCGCCCACCGACTATCCGCAAGGATCCACGCACCTTCCCGAGTACTTGGTTAAGAGAATAACCCTCGATCTCATACCCCGCTCCAACACTAGCTAAGGACTTAGAGGAAACTCACCCAACCTAGTGGCCTACCTGAGCTCTCCCAAATCCAGTGGCCTACCTGAGCACCACTCTCATATATCAGTGGCCTATCCAAGCACCACTCTCAAGAGACTCTATGTGAGCTCTTCCAGTTCGAAAATATTTTTCCTCTCCTCAAGTCCTAGGCTAGACTCATGCCATAAGGCATCACATGCAATTATGCATCATACATCATACATGGTCTGCCCACCATCATGATCAACAATCATACACATGTCATAAGACATCACATGCAATAATGCATCATACATCATCTACCCACCATTATGATCAATAAACATACTCATATGAACATATATACATGTCATATCATATTCAAACATTCATACGTATCATCACAAAGCATACATATGAATCACACGCACCATACATCATATATCATACATACATAATCTAAAACTTTAACTTTAAACATGCATAAGCATCAATTTAAATCAATTATTTATAAACATATTCACGCTCAACGCAATCAGCTCACGTCTGGCCTAACACCAACCCAAGAGTTCTAAGCTCTTCCACGCTCGGCGCTCTCAACCTGCGCCCAGCCTAATCCCAGTCAGAGAGTTTCAAAACTCTCATCCAAACCAACAAATCCAACTATATGCAAACACAAAATACAATGCATAGGCTCCATACAACTCAAAATAAACTTAAATCTCACATGCATCAAAATCATCAAAATCCTCTTTTTTCTCAAAACCCAAAAAATGAACGAATTCTCCGATCCAGCCATGGATCATCAACTTTCATGAACAATTAAGTTTCTAAACTCACATGCAACTTAAACAACAAACATTCTAGCTTTCTTCACTTGAAGATTGGCTCAAAATAGCCAATAACTGAGAAGAAGTAGAATTCCCTTCCGAAGCTCAACCCGAAACTTCAATCCTCCCAAAGCAAGCTTCCTAATCTGAATTTCAAGAAAAGACAGAAGACATTAGTGATCTAGAGGAGAAAAGGAATCATACAGAAAAATTTGGGAGAGAAAGGAGCTCACAGACCCAGAGTCCTTCTCTCTAAAACTTCTCTATAAAAACTTCACTTTCTCCTCAACCACACAACCCCTATTTATAGAAGTTCAGGAGTGGCCAGAACAGCCTGTTCTGAAACCGGAACGGCCTATTCTGCACCCCTTCATCACGTACAAAAATCACATGCAGAACGGCCCGTTCTGAAACCAGAACGGCCTGTTCTGAGATTCATCCAGAACAGCCCGTTCTCCATCCAGAACGGCCCGTACTCCCTCCAGAACGGCCCGTACTCCCTCCAGAATGCCCCATACTCTCTCCAGAACGCCCCGTACTCCCTCTAGAACGGCCCGTACTCCATCCAGAACAGCCTGTTCTCAACTATGATTCATAGGTCAATTTAGTAGTTTGGAACGGCCCGTCCCAAATTGGGAACGATCCGTTCTGGACTACTAAATCACCCATATTGGGATTTTGGACCTTCTGAAATAACCTACTACGTTACAGTTTCCATACCTCTAACATGTGATATATAATCTTTTAAATTCTAAAATTGTAGCTTATAAGTTTAAGACTCAACCTTACAAATCAACTTGCAAGGTAAGTATTGTCCCGACTTATACACTTTTTAATTGTTTTATTTTCAATCGATGTGGGACTTGAAGTTTTTTTTTTAAATATTAAACTTATAAATTAATTTTTTTTTTTAATTTTTCCTGCGGATTAAAATTTGCAGGAAAATCCGCAAGAAAAGTTACCTGCAATTTTTTCTATCATTTAGTAAACATTACTTGCGAATTTATTTTTGCAAGAAAATCTGCAAGAAACAAAATAAAATTCTTACAATATTTTTTGCAAATTTTTACCATGGAAAAAAAATTCTATAATCATTAAAATTGTAGCAAAATCTGCAAAAAAAAATTGTAAATTATTTTTCGTAAAAAAATTTGTAAAAAATATCTGTAAATTATTTTTCTTAAATAAATTCGTAAAAAAATTTTGCGAAATTATTATTACAAAAAAATTTGCAAAAAAAATTTTACGAATATTTTTTTTAAGAAAAATTCGCAAGAAAATAACATTTTTCTTGTAGTGTCAACAATTCAATCGTTGAATTAAAATTTTTTAATAAATAGAAGAACTTATAAAATTTTAAAAAAATTATTTAATACTTTATTGTTGATGTACATTTATAAAAGTATATTATACATTAATTTAAATTTATATAATAAAATATGAAATAATTTTTAATTTTTAAAATTTTAACGAAGGAGTCACAATGTCACGTCTTCGTTCACGTTAAATGGAGGTGCGTGACGTTGAGTTTTAACTAAATATAGTAGAAACATTGGCAAATATATAAAAGCAAATTCGTTGGCTGTTGATTTGACATATATGATCTGTACATCAATATTGATATATATCTATAAATCAGCACAAATGGGGTGATGGGACTGGAAGATCTAATAAACACTATAGTATGATGATCACATAATATTAAGATTTCCATGTTTTCTAGTTTCACAGAAAGAGGGGGTTCTGTGCAGAGTAAAGAGTAGAAAAAATAAGCAGAAAGTATATTATAGCTGCAGCGAAAGCAGCAACAAGAGCTCCAGTGACATGATCACAAAACTTAGGAACTTGTCCACAAATGGGTAGCCAACCAGCATGACTGTTTCCTTTCTTGCCAACATGTGCTATTGCCACTGCTGCTGACACGCTTGAAGAGAGTACCATTGCTATCACCTGATCATCGATCAACACGTGCATGCATATATATATATAGTTGTTAAAAATGTTCAATATTAATTAATTAGAGAAAACTACACAAATGGTTTTGCTGATAATATATTACCACATCTAGTATCAGAATCAAACGAGCAAGTGAACTTTGGGAACATGTGAAGAGCACAATAAGGCTGTATGCACATGCTATGGCTTCTGCTATCACAAAGTACCTGTATATATATAGTAAATTAATTATATTCAGAGAGCATAAGGGAACTAATTAAACACACTCAAGGTTTTAATGGTCATGCTTCCTGTTAATCAATCAAAAATAATCATGGTATGAATTTTGATATAACAAACTCATCATGCATAATAATTTGTAATTAAATGACTTTGTAAAAACTTGGTGCACATATATATCTTATCTGAAACCAATGGATCTTTGAAGTGGTTAAACAATGATATAGAGGGAAGAGAAGGGTCTCACTTGAATGCTTTGTCGTCGCTATATTTGGCAGTGAAGGTTAGGTCGAGAACCTGAGAAGACTCATGGCTTGTAACCATAACAATCACTGCTGCTATAGTTGCTCCAATGGCGAGGAACCTTAGGAAGAGTGCGAGGACTCTCTTGGTCTTGGCCATGAAAGACACTGCTTAATTAATTAAGTTGATCACAAGAAAAATGGTGCTCCAAGGAGATTTAAAACATTAACATATACAAAAGTTGAACACAATATGCAGTGAATATATAACAATATTTTATGTGTTAGGTAGCAATGTATGGTTACAGTTAGTGGCCTCTTAATGTTGCAGCAAAATTAAAACTGATTGTTTACCAACATATGTACCAAAGATAACCATTTTGATTAGGACAACTGATAGTAACTAACTAAGTCACTTACTTGGAAAGTAAGAGATTGATAAGGTATTTCCGAGGTAAATAAAAAAAATCTAAATAAGAATGTAATTATTATTTTTTAATATGAAGTATGATGATAACTAATTTATGAAAATAAGTAAAGATATAGTACTTATTTAATATTTAATGTAAAATATATTAATAATTTACCTTACTAAAATTAGTGTATATATCATTAAAATAATACGAGTACTGTATTAATTAAGGATTTTCTAACTTGTATTTTTAATTTTAACTATCATACTAAATTGGACAGGAAGTCAAGCGACTAGAGGTTGGATCACCTACCTAGTACCTACCTCGTTGAATTTCGACGTTGCTTCCTGTGATCGTACAGCCATATTTATTACTTCCATTTCTATTACTACTTTCATTATTTTTTTTTAGTTCCACTACAAAATAAAATGTTACATGGTGATCTTAAAAAAATTATTATTATAAATATAAATGTAATATATGTATATATATATATATATATATATATTTGACATATAATTATACATGATTTTATTATTAATTTTAAATAAAATTTAATAATACATTTTATATATCATTATAATTTATATTTATATTTTTTATTAATATGTGTGTAAAAATAATTTTAAATAATATATATTATATTGTTATAAAGTATGTGTTAATAAAAAAAAATTGTAGTGTGCATACTTTAGTATTTTTTATGTTTCTTATAGGTGCAAATTTGAATCTCTGAATCATAACATCACTTTCCTTGTGTAACAATCCTTTAGGTAGGCCTCTATTAAAAGTATCTTTATGTTCTATTAATTTTTCAATATAAAAAAATATATTTAGTATTTTTATTTTAATTGTCATTTCATAATATTAATAAATAATAAAACATTTTATTTTGTAATCATACACTTAGTCGTTAACAAGAAAATTCAAAATTAATTGTTGTTTAAACCCCCTCCCCTGAAAAAAAAATCTGACCAAATTTATTTGTTTGGTATATAAGTCAAAAGCATAGGAAATGGGAGTGATACAACAGGTTGCCTTATCTGGTTTTCACCACTAGCTTGCCAAACACAAGGTGTAACAGGCTGACCTTGTTGGTGAAAGTGGACCCAAAAGCATGATGCAACTTCGTTTAAGAGTAAGTTAACAGAATAATTTGTCAAAATAAAAATAAAATAAAATAAATGCACAAATTTATTTAAATGGTTTAAACTATATTAAATATTTTTTTTTAAAAATAATATTAGTCGGTAGAGAAATAATACTTACTTGTAAACAAAGTTTTTATCCCTTGAGTAATAATTAAATATAGTCTTAGTAACAAACAAATCAATATAAAAATTCTTGGTGTTGGTATTCTACTTTTTTCGTTGTTTTTTTTTTATTATATCATCTATATATCCATTGCTCCATTCATTTGTTGTGGTATTTTTTTGGTGAAAAAAATTGAAATATTATTTAATCCTCTTATAATGTCCTTTATTTTCTTCACATAAATCTAGAAATATAATTTTGAGTATACACCTAACCGAACCTGAATTTGTACCATTTAAAAATATTTTTGATATTGTATAAAATTATCACTTTTATGATTATTTATTAATTTTCTTTTTATGTTATTATGATTTTTTAATTTTTCTCTTTTGTATGAAAGTAAGGGATTTATAGGTAAAATTAGAAATGAAAAATATATTAATCTGACTTGTTTAGTTTCGCCCTACATATTGAGCTTTCAAAAATGAGTTGAACCAATTTACTAACCAAATAAAAATGGGTTGGATATTTTAATTTATCCTATCTTAGGATACTTCTTATAACATATTTTATTCTTAATATCTAAAGGATTCACATAAATTAATGTAGTTAAATAATAAAAAAAATATCAAATTAAAATTAATTTAATTTGATACACAAGGAATATTATCAAATTTGCCACATAATAAAATAGATTTTTAATTTAAAATAATAATAACTCTTCCCACAAATTTATTATACAAAAAAATTCAAATTACCTATAATAAAATAAATCAAATACATAACATATTTATTGCACAACAAAATATAAATTACTCGTACAATAAATCTCATGTAACATATTTAAATTTAATACTAAAAATAAAAATAAAAATAATGAAAAAAATAGGCGATTCAACGCGCTCTAACCCCATCATTTGACTAGTGAGCTAAGTGAGGGCTAGGGGAGGCCAGGGGAGCTAACCAACCAAAATATCCAACCTAATCCATTAATTTTTGGTAGGTCAAACTTCATTTTGTCATTTCTAAGTGGGATGAAACTCAAACCTAGACCGTCATGTTACTTAGAACCTTAGTAATCATTGCATCAAAATATTAGTTGATATATATGTTATTTAAATTGTTTTTATAACGTATTATTAATTTAAAAGTTATATATTTGATAATATTTGAAGGTTAATGAATTATTATACCAATATGTCTTTTTCATATATAAGTGACAAAATTAATTTTTACACTATATATTAAAGAATATGTTAGTTCATGCGATTCAATTAGCTAGTGACTCAATTGTTCAATAAGTGACCCATTTAACTAAGTCGGTCATCGGTCTAATTTTGATAACATTAATTTTTTTTATCAAACATTGGTTTAAATATTCATTTGGTCCCACCTATAGTTTTATTAATTTTATCTCTTAGTCTTTATAATTACAAACATTTCATTTTAATCCCTCTATTATTTTTTATTTTTTTTAGTTCTTATAATTTGTTGATCCATTGACAAGTACATCAATATCAACTTGTAATCAATAGTGAGTACAAGTCATCTCCACATAGACTTGACAAATATTGATCAAATTTCACACTTAAGATAATTAAGTAAGAAATTATTATTCACAATTCTATTAACATGAGACGATAATTTTGTGATGCAATTTGGAATTTAAAGCTAAGGATGATGCAACAAGTATTAAAACCAAGTTTACTTCAATTAATTTAGACAATTGAGATCAAACCTCCTATTACTTACAAATAAGAATAATACTATCAACTCGTTTCTTTCTTGGTTTGTATGATTCAAAGGAGGAGGGGAAGGGGGGAATATTAATGGAGAGGAAGAAAGTGAAAGAAAAAAAAGGGATTAGGTCTTTTCTTGTTTGGTTCACAAAGAGAAGGCAGAGATTTTAAAAATTAATTTACTTTTGTACCCTTATAATTTTAAATTCAAAAACATGAATAAGAATATTTTAAATATTACACTCAAAATGTTTTAAAATTCTTCCCTTCCCCTCCAAATCCTTCCAATATTCCTCCCCTCTAAATCCTTTTCTAATATTGGAGGGGAGTTAAAATTAGGTGAAGAGGGTTTTTGTCTCCTCCATTCTCTCTCTCCATCTTCTAAAAATCGAACCAAACAACAAAAGTTTAAAATTTTCCTTCCCCCCTCTTTCCTCTAACCAAACACTATTAAAATCATCATAAAGGTAACAATTTTCAATTTTTGGTTCATCAAGGGGCAATGTTTTTATGCTTTTATATTACACATGTTTATATGTCTCATATATCTGTATTAGTTTTTCATAATATTTTAAAGGCTTGGATACTTCACCAACATGTATAAGTGAAATATCCATGAGAATTAATATCAAAAAGATTTTCATAATTGTTTTAAAGACTTGGATATATTATTGATATGAATATGTGTAGTATTCAAGAATATTAATATCAAATACAAATATGTGAAGTAAATTTAAGTATTGATGGCTCATACATATGATTCATATATCGAAATCTCCATGTTGTCATTATCATTCTACTCAATTTATAACTGATTTATATATTTTCTGTATCTGTTGTGTTCTCGATATTATGATTTGTGATAACCTCATATGTATGTAATATGTAATATATTACATTTATCGGCTTTCCTAGGGAGGTGTACTTCTGGTGTGACATTACATATTTTTGATAGAAGAAAGACTAATGGCACTTTCAACGAGCTTGATCTCTATAGGCTTCGGTTTTGGTCCACTTCATAAAACCAAAGTCAGTGTTTCTAGAAGGTTTGCTTCCAGATCTTCAGTAGGGATTCACATTCGAGCGGTGCAAGAGAACGGTGGACCACGTAGACTTGTGGACATTATTAGACTTGTCCCTGAGCTCTCAAAAAATTACTTTAGAAGTCCTTCTCGCAGAGCTCTTTTTGGAGGAATCTCTTTGTTGGGTGGATTTTATGTTGCACAAACAATCTCTTTGTCATTTGGAGCTCTCGGAGTTAATGATGTTATTGCTGCAGTTTTATGTGTTCTTCTCACAGAATATGTCACCAAGTTCTATTACAGCCGGCCAAAAGTTACTTTTCCAGTTGCACTCCTCAACAACTTTAAAATGGGTTTTACTTATGGACTTTTCATTGATGCCTTTAAACTTGCCAGTTAATTTTTAACATCAATACAACTACTCTAAACATTCGTACTTGGTTGGTTACTCTCCTAAATTAGTTTGATTCTATTTAACCACCAAACTTGCACATGTGAAGACTGATCAACTTACAAACACTTAGTTGGTTTGTTTGTGCATAATATTCATGATTGTAAATGTTAGAAGAATTATCCTTATATCATCGCATATCAATCATAGTTCTCGTAACAAAACATCAAATAAATTTTCCTTATATTTTTTTATTTTATTTAGTAATTTGTGTTATTTTGGTCTTTATACTATTCTTCTGTACTTGTTACTATTAGGTTCGACAAGTCTGTACTTATGTACTTGTTACTGTTAGGTTCGGCAAGTCTGTACTTGTAACTTTTGGCTGGTTATAATAGAACTTGGTGACATATTCTGTGAGAAGAACACATAAAATTGCATAAATAACATCATTAACTCCGAGAGTTTCAAATGACAAAGAGATTGTTTGTGCAACATAAAATCTACCCAACAAAGAGATTCTTCCAAACAAAGCTCTGCGAGAAGGACATCTAAAGTAATTCTTTGAGAGCTCAGGGACAAGTTTAATAATGTCCACAAGTCTACGTGGTCTAACGTTCTCTTGCACCGCTCGAATGCGAATCCCTACTAAAGATCTGGAAGCAAACCTTCTAGAAACACTGACTTTGGTTTTATGAAGTGGACCAAAATCGAAGCCTATAGAGATCAAGCTTTCTTATTAAATTTTTTTATATATATTATTCATATTATAATATAATTATTAACTTGTAATTTAATTTATTTAAAATGTATAAGTAAATTAATTCTTTTTTTTTTAAAGGTGATGGGTCCTATATGTTCTATCTGAACCTAACAATGTCTAGTGGTAATGGGGATGGAAATACATTTTAAAAATATACATTCTTCTCTTTAAAACTTGAACCCAAACTTGCCTCACATTTTATGGATGTAGAGACGAAGATAGCAAAATTCATCCTCAATCTATTGTGTTATCATCCAGACAATTATCATTAGTTTTACTAAAAATTCTTTAAAAAATTATTAAGTTCTCTCTACCTTTACATAAAGTTGTGTCTTATCTTAACCTAAACTTTTTAAAAGAAAAAAAGTCACTTATCATGACCTAAATTTACTATAGGGATAGTTTCTATATTAGCTCTTCAACAATTCTCATAAGCTAACTCTTCAATTTTATGTTATATTTGGATTGATGAATGATTAATAATAGAGTGAGGTTCAAACTATTAAGTTTAAAAAACATCTATTCTAGCTTTCTAAGTTATATGTTTGCAATTTTTTTTAAATAATAAAAATTCACCACCAAACTCAGGCCAAAATAATATGGGTCTCAATTTTCTTAAACATTGTTTAGGCCCAAATTATAGGTTGGTTCCATTCCACTCCCTCTTTGTAGTGTAGTTTACATCTCTAGCTCCACACAAAGAGGCTCGAGTTTCTGGGCAATTAGGTGAGAACACATGTGATTGAAAATTTCTTAATATTTATATTACTTTATTTTTCGTTTTATTATTATTATTTTTTTGCTTCTAATTGCAGTTTTTCCACATATAATATGATATATGATGCTGATTTTTTTTTGTGGAGATGGGATAATATATTATTTAGCTTTATGATGATATAGATTTTCTCCTTTGAAATGTGCCCAGTTTATGGAGAAGCATAGTCATAGTGCAGATAGTGAACTAGAAAAACATGTTTTCTTCAACTAAAATGTAAATATTATCTGTCTAGGGAAGATGAAGTTGAAGAGGACATTGTAATTTTTTCTGAAATAATCTACAAAAAAAAATCTAGGCACAAACAATTCCATGATATTTGTAATTGATGAAATGGTTGAATAAGTCATGCTCATGAATCATTGCTTAATATATTGACCAAAAAATCTTGTTGGGTGTCTTAAGAACAATGTGGTTGAATAAGTTATAACAAGTTGTTTTACATAATGCCGAAAGGATATGCAACAAATATGAACATGTTTTTTTTTGTAATGATCTACTTGATTGCGAGGATTGTGATCTAATAGGTGGTTTTTTATGTGTAATTATTTGTAAGATAGAATTCATCTTAGAATAAGCATTTTTTCTTTTTAAATCTTTATTATTGATTCACCTTAGTTTTTAAAATGTTATTATTTATGTTGGTATTGTTGGGAAGTATGGTTGTTTAAATGCTTGATTGAATTCCCGATCCAGATTCAAACAATTTAACAATTACAACTTTGGAAACACTGTACCCAGCATTGGAGGAGAAAATTAAGGGTTTAGATGGATTAGATTGGAATTCATTCCATCATGATCTATTTTATTTTATTGTAACATAAATGATTCAAACAATGAAACGCATTAAAATTTCATCCTATTCTAGTTGGTTCTATCACTTTACATTAATTCAATTGAAGTATTAAGGTTTTCTATTTTCTATCCTCTCTTTGATTTTCCAGTTATTACATGTCTCAATCTCTCCTCAGTGGCTTTGCCCGCATAACTTCAATCCTTTCTTTGTCTCATGAATGTTTTTCTCTGCTCTCTGTATCTGTCTTTTCTCTACAAGAGCCTCATCTACCAATGATTGAGTAACTATATGACTGTCTCATTTGCTGACACTCAAAATCTTAAAACAGGTCCTCTTTTTTGTTCTATTTAGTGTTTAGTCTTAGATTTGGAACCTATCTTTTGGTGCCCGTGTACCATAATTTGGTCTGCCTTATAATCATTTGGAAATTTATTTTTCTTTTCAATTAAAATGGTACTACCTTAGTCTTTATGATGCTTCCAAACGCATCTTTGACATTTTCAATGAAGGGAGTGTCTAAAATGGCAGTGTTTAATGACTATATTACAACTTTCATGAAAATTTTGTCTCTAAGGGGAAGTTGTTTAATTTTTATTGTTCTTTGTTGGTATCGAAATTGATGCTAGAAAACTGACCATTGGATCTTGAACTTTCAGTATAGTGATGGAAATGTAAAGGAGTATTAAGGAAAGCATGGCAAGGATATCTAATGATTCTTGATTTAACCAAGTCATTATTTAAGTGTATAATAGCGAGAACCATTTGAGGCTTACTATTTAGGAGCTAATTCCGTCATTTCCCTTAGATTGACTATATTATATCACTTTTCCTCTGTCTTTTGCATTTCTAGTGCTAGGAATGAAATAGGACCGTTGAAATGATTATGCAATCATAGTAATAGAACAACTGCTTGAAAAAAGAAATCCTCACAGAAATTGGACCAGCAAGATAGAAATTATTAGCAACCTTTGTCATATTTGTCTTAGATGTGTGCTTTCCAAATGATAGTTTTTTCTTTAGAGAATCTATTGAGTAGTTAATATGTTGTTAATTAAGTTTACTAGTTCTTTACTTCTTTTGACTTGTCATATTTATGCATATTATATGCTACTCCTACACTTATTTTATACTTCACTACTTGTGGTTGTTCATAACATTTTCTATTGCTCAATGTTTCTAATTTATATATGATATTAGAAATAGTCTAGTCCAATCTGGTTCTAGATCGAGGCAAAATACAGTGTGCTTGATTTGTAGTATGGAAAGTCCCAAACCATGGTTTAGGCGAAACCTTGTCCCTTGTAACCTTTGCCCAAACCATGGTTTGCAGTTTCCCAATTGATATATAAACATGCTAAAGATGGTTGTACTTCCTTGAGATCTTAAATGTTTGTACTGACAATGTGATTTGCTTCTTAAGTATCTTGCATTTAAAACCTTCTTAATGTCTATCTTTATGCAACATTTGAGTCAGATTGTGCTTGTTATATTATTTATATGATCTACTTCTATAACCTACGTGCTTGTATGATGCAAATTATGTGTAGTGAAAGACTAAGAACCATTTTCTAGTTTTCAATGAAATTATCATATGATAATGGACAATGTAATACTATAATGCACATAGATGATATAAGTATCCAATATAATAATACGATTATTTTAAAAATTTAGGAAGGATACATGTAAAATACATGTATAAACATATATCAATATTCATAAAATATAATAAATATATTTTTAATTAAAATTCATAAAACATAATTGTAATTTTGTAAATCTAAATTAGAAACATATTTCTTGTTCATTACTAAAAACAAAAATAATTACAAATCATTGTCATCATAAATTACCTCCTATTACTTACAAATAAGAATAATACTATCAACTCGTTTCTTTCTTGGTTTGTATGATTCAAAGGAGGAGGGGAAGGGGGGAATATTAATGGAGAGGAAGAAAGTGAAAGAAAAAAAAGGGATTAGGTCTTTTCTTTTTTTTTTTTTTTTTTTTTTTTTTTTACAATGTTACAATCTTCACCAATCAAGATTCAATGTACTTTGTAATTTCATAAACTTTATTTTTTAAGCCTTATAATTGTATAAATTTTCCCATTTAATTTGTATAAAAATAGATGACAAAGGCTAAAAGAAAACAAAAATGATATGTATAGAAATTAAAATGATACATATATAACTATGAAAATTAAAAGGTAAGAGTGGATATATATATGGCCAAGATTGGTAAATCGACCTATTTAGCATGTATGATCATAATGAATTTTTGGTTTAATCAATAAACCTCACAAACTTTGTAGATTTAATCCATGTATATAAAAAATTGTTTCACACTAAAACTTAATAATATATATTTTTGAGTTAATCATCCATACATTACCAGTGTAAAATTTTTTACACTGACAACCAATCATATCTTTTAAAGTTACTTATTTTATTATTATTTTATTAAATAAACAACTAACATGACATTATTAAAAGATTAATTAGTTGTCAGTGTAAAAACAGTTTACACTGGCAGTGTATAGATAATTAACTCTATATTTTTAAGACATTAAGATTTTGATATTTAATTGATATATTTTAAATTTTAAAATTTCAAGACATAAGATTTAATACTTTGATATTTAGTTGGTGTATTTGAACTTTTAAATTTTAAGAAATTAAAATTTTAATGTTTTTTTTATGTACAAACATTAATATGTTATGAATTTAATTCTTTATTTAAAATACTTGACGCTGTTTATAAATATATTTATATTTTTAGTATTATTTTTCTTTTTCATATTTTCATAACTTAAAAAAAAATACCTTGAATTTAATTTTTTTTGTTTTTTTAAAATCCTTTTTTGATTAAACTCGCAAATTGGTTTGTTTATTTGACTTTTACAGGCGGGATACAAGTCAAGAATTTTAGACCATTTATTTTGTAAATTAGAGATTTGGTCAATTAAAAAAATTTTGTATGCTCACCCTTGTTAATAAAATTTATGAAATATTGGGAAGAACATAATTAAACCAAAAATTAATTATCATTTATCATTTTTTTTAAATCAACCTCTATATATTAAATATTAAGGAAACATTTGATAAGGGAGAAAATTTTTATACATTAAAATCATAATTTTTTAGAATTACAAGTCTTGAGAGTCATATTTTTAGGAATAATTAAAGCATTTATATAGGATTCTCAAAAATAAAAAAAAAATTTATATTTGGTTATATTACTAAATTCCCGATTTTAAAAAAATGTACTTTATTAAAATAAATTTATTAAATATATTTATTTACTTAAATTTTATTACAAATATGAATTAAATTATTTTTAAAAAGTTAAAAATTTATAGTTAAAATTATTAAAATACCAAATTCAACAAAAAAAAACAGAAAAATAATGCATAATAATTAAAAAAAATAAACATATATATTTTATTTCATTCAAATAAATAAATAAATAAATTAAAAAGTGTTAACAAATATCATTAAATTATAAAAATAAAATATATTTTAATAATATTATTAAAATTGACAAGATTAACAAATAATGAAATAAAAAATAAATATATGAAAGAAAGAAAGAGAAGAAAAGTGAAAGTGAGAGAAATTTAGAGAATGAAAAAGGGTGAGAGAGAAAGAGAATTAGGAGGGGAGATGGAGAGAGAGAAAGGGAGAGGGAGAGAGAAAGAGATGGAGAAAGAAATAAAAGGAGAGAGGAAAGAGAAATTTTTTGTTTATATATAAAAAAATATTATAATATTTTTTATATACATTAAATTATGTATCAAAAAATTAGATTCTCAATCTTCATATCATATTTTTTTTGTGGAAATACAAAATAAAAATGATCTTCAAAAATTATATTCTAAGAATTTTTTTATAAAATAACTACCAAATATATTTAAGAATCTAAAATTTTTCTGTATACCAAACTTTCCGATCAATTATCTTATGCCAGAGTGATTTAAAGGCTTTTCTTGTATTAGAGAGTTTCTAGATATTGTTTTAATTTTTTTTATTTAATTCTATTTTTATTTATTATGATTATTTATAAATTAAATTTTAATATTTTGATGATAATTTATCGATTAATAAAAATAACAATGTAATATTTATTGTAAAACCCGAATCCGGTAGCCTGAAGAGTGAAGACTCTGAATAAAAAAAGTGAAGAGTGGGAAGGGGGTGGTTGTGGGGATTTGCAGCGAAGCGAGGAAGATGCACAGTCAACAAACAGAGAAAGAAGAAGACGACGAAGGCCCACCTCCGGGATGGCAACCTATTCCCACTCATCCTCCGCCGCCGCCACCGCCACCGCCACGTCCATCCGGTCAGTTAATACTTTTCTTCTCTTTTACTTCTTCACTCGCACTATTACTTGCTTTCCTCTGTTTCAAACTTTAGTTTTCAGGGATACCCACTTGGCTTTTATGATCAAATTTCCAAACTTTTTTTAGGCTTCTAGGTGAATCTGATTATGGGCATATGTGTATCGTTTTGGTGAGGCACAAGTGTTATTGAGTTAGGTTTTACTTATGACCGTTGCACGAAATTGGGTGTTAACATGATCACTTTGATTTGTAACTTGTGTGAACAGGTTGGGCTCAAATGGTTTGCGGTTCTTGCCGTCGACTGCTTTCGTATCCACGAGGTGCCAAACATGTCAAATGTTCATGTTGTCAGACTGTCAACATTGTATTAGAAGGTTACTTATCTTTCTCTTAGAATTTCAAGGTTGGTTTTGTGCATTTGATTGATTAAAGGCATGTTTGAGTAAACAATTTAATTAAGCGTTATTGCACAAAATCTTGTCACAAGAGAATCAGATGGAAGTTAATGTCGTAAGCTCTTGATTCAATAAGCTTAAGTGTAAAATTTATTGAAATAAGTTAAAGAACTTATCGGAGGGTCGTAAATAATTTTCATAATCTTAACCAAACACCTTCAATTTCTGCTGGTGTTTATATGATACCCAAATAAGTTTGGTAGAAGATCTCTTAAAACCCACTTTCATGAGCAATTTTGTGCTTGATCCAACACCCCTTTTATATGTTGTTGTGTGCTCTAAACTTGTGTTAATGATCTTGTGTATTTGTTAAAATTTATAATATTTTTCTTAAAAAAAGATTTGGTCTTCATAGAAGGGTTGCAGGCCAAATCACAATCCAAGGTTTCAGCCAGAGTTTTTGGTATGGTTGTGGTAAATCTCCATGAATGCTGTATTTTGATGTTTTCAATTGTGGAACTGCATTCTATTTTCTTGTAGTTGCTTTACTTCCTTGTTCGAAATATGGCATACAATATATGGCTTTATCTCTTTGTGTCGTAAGCTATTTATTATATCAATAATCCTTTCCTTCATCACAGGTGATCAGGTTGGGCAAGTTAAGTGTGGCAGTTGTGCAGTATTGCTAATGTACCCATATGGTGCTTCGCAAGTTAGATGTTCCTCATGCCGGTTTGTGACAGAAATTGGGGTATGTTAAATGTTTATGTATTCAGTACTTTAGTTGAAAAATATAGTCTTCCAAGTTTTTGAGACGGGGTTTGGTTTACCAGACTCATCATGAAATTACTATAGAATAATTGGTTACATGCCAATTGGTAACTATACATGACCCCTGAAAGTTTTGTAGACAAATAAATAAATATCTCCTTTAACTTTTAAACATGCAGAATGAAAGTTGTTCATAAAAGACTATAATATCTACATATTGTGGTTGACTAAATGGATGAAGCATTATGTGAACAAATTCTACTCAAATTGTTGTTGACAGTTGATTTATTTAGAAATGGAAAATACTGGAGAGCATGAATTCAACAGCAAGAAACAAGACACCCAAATACCTGCTGCTAATGAGCCAAAAAAACCTAAAAACCGTATGTTTTCTATGTCAATATAGTGGAATTCACTCTAAATAAATAGAACTGCTCATTAGAAACTTTTAGCACCCAATTTGTGGCCAAGATAGGATAAGGTATGGTAGGACAACAGATTTGGATAAAATTCAGATATATGCTCTTAAACTATGCATACAATACAACTCATAGGATAGTATTACGTTATCTTATCCTCCTCTATTGGATGTGTACTAGATAGTGTCAGGCTACTACGTAAATTATACATAGATGATTGTTGAGATCCCATATCTACTAGAAATATGAATCATATGAATAATATAATCTTTATGAGACTTGAACAATCCTCACCTTTCAAGTCAGTTTTATGTATGAGTGATAGAATCGAGATTCTATTCCAACTCGGAAAGGGGTCACTGAATTGTAAAACGTGAAATCGTAACTCAAAATGTAGGTTCTACAAGATTTATAAAATTCATATATATGCTTCTAAGTATAAATAAGAGAGGGAAAATCATTATAACAAATGAAATACTAAGCTTAAATTCATAATAAAGTCAATTACTAAACTCCATACATAACTGAAATGACTGACACAACTTCTTAAAATACTGCACTGCAGTAGCAAAACAACATAAAACCCCTAGTTTAGAACTCAAACTCCATCTCCTTGTCCTTCATTAACCATGTTAGCAAGATGAGCGTGTGGGTTGGACAGTGGGAGTAAAACAGATTCGCAGGGGCAGAGGAAATAAAACTGAGTAAGATAGAGTGGGACTTAGTGGGAGTATTGTATATTACCTCAGCCATGTAGTTCTAGGAGTTGACGAGCTTAGGTTTTTAGAAGCCCAAAATAAAATAAAAAGAAACCCAGTCCAAAATGTGAAAACAAAATGAGAATCTACTCACAAAAAACCTGGCCAGCAATTTGAAACAACGGCAGTCCCACTGCTTCAACACTTTAGCGTGATGATTTGGCTGATTTTACTTTCTGACGATTCTACTCATGGATGAACTCGCTCAGGCCTGCAGAAGAGTAGAATCAAGCGATTCTATGAGATGAATTGTGATTCTGGCTAGGATGGTTAATGGAGTTGTGTTAAGCCCTAAGCCCAAATTTTATTTTAGTATCAAAGTCTATCGTTCGTTATTGGACTACCCATATTTGGCTATGCTCTAAATGTCTATTGCTATGAATGAGAATGTGTTGTTATTGGGTTATTCACATTTGTCCATGGTCCAAATGTATAGACTTGGATGTGTTGAGATCCCATTCAATTAAAGATAACGGGGTGGGAGATTACATTTTCAAATCAAAATAGATTACCATACTTTATTAGATACTAAAACAAATTTGATTCAATTAAGGCAACTACATGTACTTTGGTTAATGACATAACCATTGACTTTCTAACAATATTAGATATCGGTTAAAGAATTGAAATTTAAATAGCAAGAGATTTAATGAAAATTTCCTATAAATTTTGCTGTAAATCTAGCAAGATGCAATGATTAAAACTAAACTTTTGAGCCAAATTTATACCATCATAGACTTTCTTCTTTCCAGTCCAATTCTACACATCCTATTTTTTTGCAGGAAAAAAATAACAATAACAGCTTGACAGATCAGATGTTGTATACAGGGGGAAAGAGATGGCTGTGAATAAAAAACAGAGTATAGTACCAGGGTGGGGGGGAAGAAAAATATTTATTGTATCCTGTTAGTTTATAACCCAGCCCTCTCAACCGAATTAATTTATAATTAAAGAATAGGATGATATAAGGTGTGATAGAATAAGCTTATTATATCTCATTAACTCACTTAGCTGTGGATTAAAACAGGATGAAATAGTTTATCCTTCCCCATTTTTCTTATCCTAGTTACTAAATGAACCCTTAAGGTTTTAGTTATCCAAGTTAAAGAGGACTTAGTGCTTTGCTTAATCATTTTGTTAGGAGTTTTTATTACTTAATAATTTATTTTGGGTCCAATGATATAGGCTTCATAAAAGGCAATTTATTCTCTTTCTTAGTTAGACCCATCTCTTTTGATTCAATCCTAAGTCTCCCTTCAATGCTACAGATTTTCATTTGAACAAGATTTTCACTCTTGGTTTTTGTGCAGGCACACAACAAGCGGCCTCCATGGTCTGTACAACAAAGGAAACCAACTCCAACCAAAACTGGTTGTTAGTGGCCTGTCCATTGGCCTATTAGATGGACCGTCCTTGTATATCAAACAAATTAGGTATGAGGATTCATGGATCAATCTCAAAACTGCTTTGTTATTGCCATAAGCATCCATATGGAATTATTTATTAATGTAAAGTTTTGGAAGTAATTTCACCGTGATTTTTTAAATGAAGAGTCTTCTATTCCTGCTTGGACCCTTCTATTTCTTTCGCATCCCTTGAACATCATCGTCATATTTACTTGAAGATCTGAAATGCAATATATATATGGGCTTTTTTTAAAGTTGAAAATTGCGTTAAAAGTTGTCATAAATTGCAATTTATTGAAAGTAATTTTAAGACTAATCCTTATAAAAAAAATGTTATGATCAGTAGTCTAATCCTTATAAATAGATGTAGATGCAAGGAGATGGGCTTCAGTTACTTAACATGAATGTTCTCCCGTTTTTAGTTGCACTAAAATCCTAACGTGGAATTTTTTAGGAAATAAAAGAAGAGAACATAAATTGGAAGTAGTATTGACATTGAAATATATTTGCGACACACTATTCATTTTTCTTTCTAAGAATGCGTTGATTTTTGTTTAGCAATTACTTTTTGATATGATAATGTTGCACCTGATTATATGTTGATAATAAAGGGAACTAAACTCATACCATTATTGGACTGAATTTCTTTTAACGTGTTCATACTAATCCAAGAAAAACAGATTTTTAGCTGTTGTAATTTGAGGTAGAGATATAATGTTAATATTTGGAAATGATGTTCATGATCGATTCTATTTTTCCTCAATTCGCAGTTACTCCTGATTCTAACAATAACAACTGTATTTGGTCCCGTCCCATTGTTCATACAAAATGTCATTTGTCGTGTTAAAAGTTGTAGTTTCTGTTTCCGTTGTTTGAGTAACCTGTGCTTCTCACTTCAATACATTTACGCTTCTGTGGTAATTACCAACTGACCTAGCGCTAGGAGTGTGGTGAAAAAACCATTTGCTGGTATCTTTCATGCTGTTCTGTTAGGTTATAGTTCTGTATGGCTGATGGGAGGATTTGGAATTAACATTGAATGATCTAGAATAATTTATTTCAGTATAGCACTCTCATCTAATTCGTCTACTCAAAGAAACAAGTTGTATTGAAAAACAAATGGTTTTCTATTAGAACTATGCGAGGGGGAATTTATTCAGAATCAGCAACCATGATAGTCAGAAAAGATGGGGAAACAGCACCAAGAAGCCAAGAACGCATCAAAGTCGGGAAAAAAATATATATCTTATATAAGCAAATATTTCACTGAATTTGTGTTGGAAAAGTTATATTTTTAACAGCTGATTGCAATAAGAAATTGAAGTTGAATTTCGAGTTTATCTATGACTATATTTTGCAGTGAAATGAACAGAATCAGTGATTGTGACTCCATCAAAACATCTGTGTATTATAGTCTCAATCTTCGGGTGGGAAATCCTCGTCTGAGGCATTTTCCAAGAATGAACCAAGAGTTTTCCTTAAAATGCTGAAAGTTTTATCGTCCTGTGTGACAAAAATAATCAATTAGAAACGATTAAAGCCCGGGTAGGGACAGAATGCAACTGAAAATGTAGATCCCACTGCTTGATTTACCTGTTTCTTCTTTTTCAATGACTCTTCCAGTTGGGCAATTTTATCCTTGCAGGCTTTTTCTTGTTCAATTATCATAACTCTTTCCTTCTTCCCTAGATTATTCGTGAAGTTTTACAGAAATAAAATATTGACTTCAATCGCGGTTTTATATATTCATAAAGACAGATTAAATCGTGTAGCTTACTCAGTTGTTCATATCTCACAAATAGCTTCTCCTTTTCCTCTTCAAATTTGGAGATAATATCTATCAATGGACAGAATCAGTTAGCATCTAACCAGCAAAGAGCATAAAACAGATAATTACCACTATATATTTCAATAGCACCAGCAGTTTCAGTTTTACAGATGAAGCTATTGGTCCACCGATGACAATGTTGCAGAGAGTACCTTTCAGGGCCTGCATAGAAGTGGCTTTCTCTTTGCAAAAATTATCGTGAAGTGCTTGAAACTTGGCAGTTTCGTTCTTCAAGGAACTTTCGTACTGCATCACAACAATGATTAAACCAGTTTTCGGCTACTTAAAGACTCGGTTATCAATACCATACATAAAACCATAATCATCCACAAACCTCTTTAGAACTCTTTGAAAGCGCCTTAGCAAAACTTTGCCTAACATTGGAAGAACAATACAGTGAAATAGTGGGGAAAAAACATAGAGGCCTAAACGACATCAAATAAAATGTACCTGTCCTTCTCAATTTTTGACCTCAAGCCCTCAATCGTAGACTTCACCTCAGAACCCACACTATATCACAACAAAAAAGCACCAATAACAAACCGTCTTCTCACCAATCGCTAACAAATAAGAAAATACAATGTCCGTTGGAGAATACTACCTTATTTTGAAGTCAACGTTATAATGCTAATATTGAAATATACGTCGTCCAAATTAAGCAAGCAACGCGCATTCATTCAGAATCAGAAACAAAACCGAATACCTAGAAATTGTCTCTTCGTTCTTCTTCTGACCGTCCTTCTGAGCCTTGTCTCTGATCAGGTGCAGCGCGGACACGATTCCTTTGATGTCACTGCAGATTTGCACAATGCGAGAAACTATTAGCACGATTCCGAACGAAAATAAACGAAAAGACAAAATCACCGAAAACGAACTCTGAGAGATCGAAATCCAAGTCGAGATCGAAATTATCTGTCGCCGATCGGTTGCTCTTATCGGATTTTGCGCGTTCCGATTCCGATGGGCGCTTCCTTGAGGCGGATTTAGTTGCAGACATTGCCAAAGTGATGAGAGAAAGTGAAGCGGTGATGGTTACTTTGCGCGCGCTCAAATGCTTTTGTTCCCTAATTTCAAAACTTCCACGTCAGCATTATCTACACTAGCATTTAAATTTAAGGCATTACTACCCAATCCTCTATAAAGGAAGAATTTTAATACTGTAACCATATAACTCACATTACTACACTAGCATTATTTTTTTGTTTTTAGTTATTTGAAATCCACGTCAGTTATATGGTTAAGAAGTTCACGTTTTTTTAATTTTTTTTCGTATCTTTCAAGCTTCTTTTTCGTTTCGTAATGATCGTAACGCTTGTAACTCAGTGTTCCATACGGGAAAAATGAAATATATCTTGAGAATCAACACTATAGATAACTCAATTTAAAAGTCTTAATCATACTCTAGTGAACATGAGATATATCTTGCATGACTTAACTATCTCAATCAGACTATGATAGTATATCCTTCTAATAAGAATGTGTAAAGGATGTGATTTGACATGTACCTCTAGACTATTTTATGTGTATTGCTAGCGACAATGAACAAGTGTGATATAAGATGTATTACTAGTGTCACATGCATGATATCATTATTGGGAATATGTCTAAATATCTTTAGGAAAATAAATTAGTTTTGATAATAATCTTTTATTTATGTTTCAAATATTTAGGTTTAATTTCTTTTTAATTATTTTAAAATTTGTTTCCTTATTTTTAGAATAAGAATATAAATATTTAATTTTGTATAAAAAAATTTCTCTATAAATAAAGATCTCATGAATAAAATTTAATTATAAAATATTTAATTTTGTATAGGTGGGACTAAATTGAACGCAAAACTTAAAATAAGACTAAATTGAAACTTTAAAATATTATAAGAGACCAAATTAAAATTTTAGCCCACAAATTATTATTATAAAATGTTTCGATCCAATTCACATAGAAAAAAAAAACACAACCTACTAATTATCACCTTGAAAATTATGTATCAACACATAACAAATGCTAGATTTGGCGGATGAATTCAAATTGTAGATTTTTTAAGATTAAGAGGGGTGTATTGGTTTAGGATTTCGTAGAATTTTAAAAGACTTTTTTTGAGTAAAAAAGTCCATTGGTATTCAATCAGGATTTTACGTTACTTAAAAACAATCCAGTGGTATTCAATCTGGATTCTTAAGATTTTTTAAAGAGTCTATTAAAATCCATTGGTATTCATTTGAGATTTTTTACAACTTAAAAATAATTCATTGGTATTCAAAAATATAAGGATTTTAAAGGATTGTTGTGTGAGAGAGATTTTGAAGGACTTTCTAGTGTTATCTATAAATACCAAATTCATAAAACAATCTCATCCAAACTCATCGGATTTTGAAGGATTGTTTGAAGTGATTTTTCAAGAATTTTCAAGTGAGTTTTTCATCTTTTTTTTTTTTCTATGCTTTTGTCTTCTCCATTTTTTCTCTACTAATAATACTGCACTATTGTTCATTGCTCATATATAATATTGTAATACTGTTCTCATCTCATTCCCCTATTTTGTGAAACTCCGATATGTAAATGATAGTGTCATTGACTTGCTCTATTTTTCTGTTCGTTCTCTTTAATTGACTTGCTTTATTTTATTCTATGTAGTTGAATTTGTTCCTTTATATAACACAAAAAATACTTGAAATTTTAACTTTTAAGTCGTAATTTTTTTTATAACACACGTCAAGAAAAGAAAAAGGTGAAAGATGAAATTGATATCATAATCTCTACAATATATATATATATATATATATATATATAAGATCAATTTGTTAGGGTTTCTGTGAGTAGAATGA